ATTTGAGCCCTTAAAGTATAGAAATTGTAGCCCAATAGCTACAGGTTTCAGTACCTTTAAGAAATATTGTCTCGCCTTATAGCCCATCTATCCACCAACAACCCATCAACATTCAGGAATCTTCCCTAAGACACTTGTCATAGGCCTGCCTCTCATCATCACAGACATGTGAAGAGGGAAAAATTAATTCGGTTGGAAAATACAGATAATATTGGGAAATATTGGAAAGTGGAAGCTGGTTGAAAATTTGTAACTATAATTAATATTAAACGATTATAATTTTTGATTAAAAAATATGAGAAAATATCGAAATGTAAAAAACTGATACTGAAAGGTAAAATGGTATAAACAATTTTCGAACTTCGCCAGTCTACAAGAGAACAAGTTCACATGAGTAATCCGTGAAGTCTATATTAATTTATTCTGCCTCAAGCTGCTGCAGAATGTAAACATGTTATAATTTCCTATATATGTCTGGTTTTGTATTTAGTTGATTTTAATCTTATTAATATGATGTGGGGATATAACGTTTTGTCCTCAGAAAATGTTTGACAAACATACATTTTATTCGCTTCAAACATTTTTCTTCCACAACTAATCGAAAGACAGATAAGGTGGCCTTGAATTTTAGTTTATTGGTCAATAAAACAACAACAACAACTTCTCTGGGAATTTTAAACAAACAATTCTATTTGACTTACTTTTTGATAACACGAAAAGTGCAAATTGGCAAAATATTTAAATAAAAGAATTTCACAATATTCAATTGCAATAAATAATAAGTTAATCAATAACCAATTTACGACACATTACATCCATGAGTTGTTTGTATTTCGTTTTACTACGACTTAACTGTAAACAAAGAAATCATTTTCAATTCCCTGTTGTTTTGTTTCTAAACTTAAATATGAATGAGAAAGAAATCTTCGAAGGAATGTAAATTGAATTGCGTAGTATTTTTTCGAGAAGATTCTATCTGAGATAGTTTTCAATTAATTCGAATACAGTTCTTTACCAAAGTTGGTGTTATGAAGAAATTAACACATGACTTTGCATTTTTTTCGTTTTACGCTGCTGTAAATCTAATTGATAACCCATTGGTAGCATGTAAACTTGACACATTTATTCCGTTTAAAATTGAGATTGCAACCTCGACATTTCTTAAAACCTATTGATGTAAAAAAACACATTTTGTTATTCCGGGCGATTTGTTGTGGGAAGGTAGTCTACCGGACAAGAAGGTATTATTCCAGGATAAAAACTATTAAAAGTAAGCTGTTGTTAAAGTTTAACAAGTTAAAAAGCAGTAAGTTCGGCCGGGCCGAACTTTGAATACCCTCCACCATTTGGAACGAATATTGCCGTTATATTGGTGCCTATACGACGTGGACCCACACAGGCATTATTTGTCATGAGTCATTACCAAATTCAAATTCGGAACTTGAAATAAACGGTATCAAAATATAGAATATAGGGAGGTACCGTTATATCGGAGCTGTGCGAAGACCTGAACCTGCGTAGACAATTTTTTTGTCATATTCTGTAGCATCCATTACGAACTTCAAATACGACATTTCAAACAATTTCGGTGAGTATTGTACCTAAACTCGTCAAAATAGGGAGGTACTGGTATACGGGCCTATATGAAGGCCTGGACCTGCATAGACAATTTTCTGTCACAGACTGGAGTTTCCATTATGAACTCTAAATGCGTAATTTGAAAAAATTTTGGTGAATAAAGACGCTAAAATCACCAAAATACCGAATATAGGGAGGTACCGTTATATGGGGGCTATATGAAAACGTGGACCTACATGGCCCATTTACGAACTTAACCTGCCTACTGTAAAAATAAACCTGTGTGCAAAATTTTGTATCTCAATTCGTTCGAAAGATAGCGTGATTACAACAGACAGACGGACAGACAGACAGACAGACAGACAGACGGACATCGCTAAATCGACTTAGAATTTTACGCTAATCAAGAATATATATACTTTGTTGGATGAGTAATTCGAGGAGATACAAACGGAATGACAAAGTTAATACACCCTCCATAGTATGGTGGAGGGTATAAAAATATGTTTAGGTTTGCATTTAAACATGAGTACATGTGAATAATTCTTTAATCCCATAGATGTCAAACTTAAATCCATATTTATTATTTTTGTTTCTAATATTTTTTTATTCTAATATTTTTGAAACATATCTCAGGTATCTAAACATTTATATATAAACGATTACATTCCGTCCGTCCGTCTGTCCATGTATTTTTGTCAGCAATGCACATGTAGCATTTGTCGTGTAAATTCGTGTAAAATTCGTCCAAATAGGATGTATTTCGGCACATCCAATCTTATTCAAACTAGAAGCAAGTACTTAAAATTTGGTGAAAATCGGATTAGATATAGTTATAGCTTTCATACATATGTTTCATTCGATTCGGTGTCACATTCATAATATACACTCAAAAAATGATGTTTGGTACCAGATATCAGATTCAGGCCAGAAATACATCTCTAAAATGTTATCAGTATCGGTTCAGAATTAGATATAGCTTCCATATACAAATATCTTTATCCGATTAAAGTTGTATTGTACACCAAATTCAACCGAATTTAGACTAGAAGCAAGTGCTTTAAAAATCTGTTAAGATATGGCTCTTCATTTAAATTCACGAGATATGATGTTGGTGTTTTCAGAAAAACGTTCGTGCTTGTGGTATATTATGAGCGCTACTCAAACTAGTGGATTGCTATTTGAAATTTGAAAATGGAATGGATTGAATACAAGATCCATTGATCCTAGACATATTTAAAATTTTTGTAACAAATTTCAGAGTTTTACAGGGTCAAATGTCTAAAACTTTTCATAAAACAAGTAACAAATCAGTTTGTCCTAACTTTCAAATACCCTTTACTATTTGGAAGGAACATATGGAATAAAAAATGCCTCTATACATTTATCCAGTAGGAAAAGTCAAAAGTCGGGCGGGGCCGACTATATGATACCCTACACCACTATGCATTTTTGTAGAGCTCCCTTTACAAAATAATTTATATTGGGAATTTACATGAAGTAGATCACCCCAACTATTGAATTTATTTGAATAAATATCATGGCTTAAGAACAGTTATAATTTGCTTTCAGAGGGAATAACATTAACAACTATGTATCATAGCCGAGCTCCACCAAATGGAAACGTAGGTGCCAAAATTCGCTCCATTTGGGCTGATATTAGCCATTGGGTATACAATAAACCTGATATCGGATAAAGATATATATGGGAGCTATATCCTAATCTGAACCGATCTCGATCTGAAATTTGACATAGGTATTTTCGAGCAGTATCTGATGTTCGGTACCAAATATAATTTTTGAGGAGTGTATATTACGAATGTGAGAGACTTAAACACCAAATCGAATGAAAAATATATATGGGAGCTATAGCAATATCTGAACCTATATCTAAACAAATTTAATATCGGTCGGATGTGCCAAAATTCAGGTCATTTGGACTGGAAAATTCAGGTCATTTGTTGCACAATTAACCTGAAATCGGATGAAGATATATATATGGGAGCTATATCTAAATCTGATCCGATTGTCATCAATTTCAATAGGGTTCGTCCTTGAGCCAAACAAATATAGTTTGCAATATTTCATCTCAATCAGATAATAACTACGACCTGCATTTGGATCACAAGAATATGAAGATCCTCAAAAGTAATTATGGGTCTATCTTGATTCCTTCTCCCTGTTACAAACACATGCACGAACACATAATACCCTTGCCACTATGTGGTGTAGGGTATAAAAATACAGCTATGTGACCATATATATTCGTTTAAACATCCTCGGAATAATATCAATTCCTGTCAACATTTTTATACCCTCGACCATAGTATGGAGGGTATATTAGATCCACGATTTGGTATAGCCCCCATATAATGGTACCCCCGATATTCGGTATTTTGATGATTTTAGCTATATTATTCACCGGAATCGTGTCAAATTTGGTATTTGAAGTTCGTAATGGATACTACAGTCTAAGACAAAAAATTGCCTGTGCAGGTCCACGTCTTCGTATAACCCCCATATTACGGTACCTCCCAATATTCGGTATTTTAATGATTTAAGATACATTATTCACCGATTTTTTTAAGTTTCTCATTTCAATATTGTAATGGCTTATGATCAAAGTTACCTATGCAGGTTCATGTCTAATGAATCAGCTACATTCGTTATTTTCAAGATTTTAACAGAATTTTTAACGGATTTTATTGTTTTTGAGAATTGCCAAATTCGTTGCAACTGGTGGAGGGTATTCAAAGTACGGCCCGGCCGAACTTACATCTTTTTTACTTGTTAAAGTTCTATCTGTAAAAGCTTAAGTTCTATCTTGATTTTAACACGGGGATGACCAAATGGACATAGAATTTGCAGGTTGGATATGAATATATTAATGGAGTCCACTTCAAGGTCTTGCAAGCGGAATGACAAATGAAATATATCCTCTATGTATACCCTACCCTAGAGGATATATTACGTATAATTATGGATTTTTAAACTTGGTAGATTGTTAAAAAGACGTTTGGGGATATTCGGACCATACCGATTTTCTCTGATATCTTTTTCACAAATGGTCAATTTGAAATGAGGATAGAACCTTCATATATCATATAAAAACTCGAACCATTTTTTTAACGTGGAAGGGAAATATAGGGAGATATACACAAACTCTGCGCGTTATGGCCAATTTTTAATAAACAAAACATGGACGTTAAGTTCTGTGAATAAAGCATGTTATCGATTGGGCTTTTAAAACTACTTCAAAAAAATAATAATAAAATAAAAATAAATTCTATACATAGAAACATAACGAAAGAGATAAAAATAAACTTCAATTTGTCATTTCAAATTGATTAGAATAAATTATGCATTGATTATAATGAGCTATTTTTAAAACAAAACAAAATTTATGGGTTTTAAATTATTACCTTTTGTTAATCGAAATGTGCAGACAGCTAGGAAATTTTTAGAAATATAATCCGAAATGTAACATTTAATGTTGAAATCACAAATATTCGTTTGCTACTTTATTTTGCTTCCTTTCTATGGTGTAGCCAAGGAAAATATTGCACAAATCTGTTTAAAAATTTTTCTCTAATAAAATTGGTGACAGGTGGAGGATACAATTTAACACAGTGTACACTTTATGGACATTTGATATAATTTATTTCTTTCTGCAGATCATTACTATTTATGTAAGCTTTTTTCTGATTTTTTTCATTTGTTAAACAAATAAAACAAAAAAAATATTTATATATAATTCTCAAAGAATTATCAAGTAATCACAAAGCAGATGCACATACACACACAACACAATGCACAATTAGAAGTGAAATTAAGAACTTGCAAGAGCTATGACAAGAATCGTATCGATTATTATTATTTTTCCAGGAGTTGCGTTTTGAACGCAGCTTGTTTTAGGAATGAACTATTTGAACGTTTCCTCGATTGTTTTAACCGTTTTGGCAAATGCCGCCACCACGTACAATTGTATCCGTATCCGCTTCGTCGTCAACTAACTGACTGCCACAATGCGAGCGCGCACACGAGCTCAGCGATCAACGATCAAACAAACACTGTGATATTGAGACGGCGACGACAGCAACGAATGGTCTTCCAATTCAATGAGAGTGGTGTGTTCTTGCTGCTACTGCTGCTGATCGCCGGCCGATGGTGGAGTTTGTTTGATCGATCAAATGAACGGATGGAACGGATGACTGGCTTGCAGGCCGGCCAACAAACAGTATGAATGAATGCGCCAATGTAAGCCGAAGAATGTAAAATGTAAATAAAACAACGCGAAGCAGTAGCAACCTGTCGACTAATAGACCCCGTTTGTTGAACAAACCCCAAGTTTACTCTTTTTAAAAGAGTTACCAGATCTATGCCAATTTTGTGTTCATGTTTGTTGGGATCAAACTTTAAAGACATATTCACTGTAAAAGTTTAGTAGCATATGCTTCCAGGCTGGAATGGGCAGTACATCTATGACAGTTGGGCTAAGACATTTTGAGATTGTTATATCAATTTCCGAGATTACATAGTCCAATATATTCAGAGCTAAGTTTAAGGGTGCTGTTCTGGAACTTTGTGATGCAGAAAATATTTTAGATTTGTTATGTATAACATGATCTCAAATACGGAAATATATAAATCCGACCTTCAACGACAGACATTTTTTTTTCTAATTTTCTAAAAATCGAAACATTTTCCGCATGGATTTATCATAACCGGGGTTAGTTTAAACCATAAATCGTTGCTTTTTAACTTAAACATTCTAGGGAGCGTCTAAAAATATTCTATAACATGTTAAAAAGTATCAGTCGGTGTTGCCGAGAGATGTATACCCTCAGCCAATTTTTGGACTGTATTGGTTACTTCCATCATTTTGAGATATGTGATAATTTTTAGAAAATGTTAAAATATGCGTGAGGCACCAGATATAGTCAGCCGAAGCATTTCTTTTTCATATTTCATCTAAAACAAATAAAAAATTTTGGTATAGGCAAAATTACAAGAAAATCGAACATTTATATCCAATTTTATGCGAAATCATAAATTCAATAATCATGTCAGGTTTCTTGTTGAGAGAAATATTTAGAAATAGCAAGTTGTAAGGAATTGCCGACAGATAAAAGTTTTGAAAAGTTTTGAGGTAGCAGAAGGGGTTAGCAGATATATACCATCTTCACAACAGATCTTGTGTTAGCAAAAATGTTTGGATGTGTGGAATTTGAAGAGAGTTGGATGCTTATTTCGCTTTCTTTGAGCGTTTTGTTTTTAAAAATGTGGGGGAGGTACCAGAAGAAATGGTCCGATGTCTACCATCTTTATAACGGATCTTGTGTTGATGGAAATATTGAGATGTACGAAGTCTGCATGGATTCGTATGTTAATTTCGCGTTTTAGAGCTTCATGGATATTCAAAATTGTCGCCTTAATAAGGGAGGTATCAGAGCAGATCTTGTGTTAGATGAAATAAAGGGATGTGTGAAATATGAAGAGAACCCGATGCTTATTTCAAAGTTTATAATCGTTTTAGGTATTCAAAATTTTTACCCTTTATGGGGGAGGAGGTACCAGAAGGAATGGTCCGATCTCTACCATCCTTATAACAAATCTTGTGCTGATAGAAATAATGAGATGTGGCATGTGAATAGAATCGGATGAGCTTCATGAATATTCAAAATTTTGTCCCTTTTGTGGGGAAGGTACCGGAATGAGTGGACCGATATATTCCATCTTCACACCAGATCTTGGGTTAATTATAAGGGTTAAAAATATTGTGATATGTTTAATTTGACAATCGACAATCGGACTCTTACGTCACATTTTATAAGAGTTATAATTATTCCAAATTTTGAGCCTTTGTGTGGAAGGTACTCGATGGAGTGGACCGATATAGTCCATTTTCGCACCTGATCTAACAGCGATGCAAATATTTGGCAAATTTGGAACAAAATCGGATTATCCTTTCTTTTTCTTTGCAGTAAAATATTTTTTGAAATTTTCGAACTTTTTTGGGGGATTCACCAGAAGGAGTGTCCATCTTCGAACTCGATCTATGTTTGATAATAATATTACAGTGTACCAAGTTTGGAATAAATCGGATACTCCATTCTAGAGTTATAGTGCGAACCATCCACCAAACAGGCAGACAGACATACGAACGGACGGACATTGCTAGATCTACACCAAATGTCCTGAAACGGATTTGGTCCAAAGAGACTGGAGTGAAATGAAGGCAAAAAATGTCGGAAATGGCATTAAAATTTAGAATTAGTTTAGATTTGTTCGAATTGGTCACCTTTGGCACGAATTATGACCTTCAAACGGCCAATAAACCGTCACACGCTGCCCGAATGTTGCTCTACGGTATTTTGGTCCATTCCCGGCGAAGCACTTGATGAGGTGATCGATACTCGGCATACGAAGGCCCACACCATCACCATGGCCGGCGCTTGAGTTCTGGTGGCCAACCGAAGGTGCACATTTTCAGCTGACCTCAAGTAAAAGTAAAGACGATGTTTTCTCATCGGAGAGAACCAAATTCGGCAGTTCACCACTTTCGGCCAAGCGAAGCAACTCTTTAGCTCTTTTGAGTCTATTTTCTTTCTGTTGCGGTGTAAGTTCTTCCACTTTTTGGAATTGCAATCGCTTTACCCCGAGCACATTTTTCAATATTTGCCGAATGGAATATTGCTATAGGTTCAGCTCACGAGCCATTTTTCGGCCACTAGTTCAAAATAGTTTCTTTTAGTTACTAAGCGAATGAAGCACACATACGACTGAATTTTTCTGAAAAAGGACCATCCGAACTTTGATGAAAATTCCATTTGATGCTTGTATAATTCAGGCGCAATCAAAACATGTTTAAAGAAGGAACTAGTTCATTAAAAAATCCAAAACAATAAGAATGATCTTCAAAGTGAGCTTGGAAATTTTGCACCTGTGTATCTTTTATTTTTACTTTAATTAAGATTCAAGATTGTCTATGTCGAATTCTTTCAATATTTCAACATTCCAACTCTGTTGCTATGATATCGTAACAACAAAGGTAAATCTAACTGTTGTCAATAATTTGACTCTAATGTCTTATCTTCTTTCAAACCACTAAACCCCACCAAAATCTGGCATCTTCAATTTCAATTACAACCAACGGTTCGAAGCAGAAGTTGTGTTGTGTTGCGAGGTGTTGGGCGCCGCTTCACTTTTTGTTTTGAGCAGCTGGGAGAGCAGTATTTGTTTTTGCTGCTTTGAGGATGGCATTACAGGTTGTTTATAGTCGATCGTCATTATGATTCTGTTTATTGATCGTTAAATTATAATCGATTGGTTACAGGGTAACCGCCCACCTTTCGTTGATGTTCTGAAGTGAGCTTCATTTCATGACTGAATGAACCGAGCTAACTAACGCATATTTGGCGTAATGCGATTAGTCAGTCCGCTAGATGAGTTGTGTATATTTTTATTTTCGATTAGGCAATTCAATGAAGCAGCTGTTTTGCCAATAACTGGTTAACTCTTTTCGTGTGTTTGTGTGTGTGTGTTAAAGAGAGTATGCGAGTGATTTTTGAGAGAATTTCAAGTGTTTGTTTCTTTTATTATGAATTCACAGTTATCGCATTAAAAATAAAGTAGAGAGCTCTTTTTTTGCATTGGGGGCCAAAGAGAGTAAGAGTGATAAGAACTAGTTTGTTAGCTGTTAGTGTGTGGTGTACTCGCTATGTTACGCACTCCCATACCATTAAACAAGGGCATAGCGGTTTATTTTGTTTTCGCAAAAACAAAAACACAAAAAAAAAGACCGTAACAAACGAGCATTACGCGAAAGCGTCGTACAATGAAAACAAAACAAAAACACAAGTGATCCATCCACCCATCGCAATCAGCCATCAAGCATAACAAACTTCCCATCTGCGAATTCAGACACGCAAGTGACAATGTTTTATTGAAATGAAAAATTCCCAAGCGTGTTGTCTGCTGGCCGTAACAGTTGTGATAAAAATTATAGTACAACGGAACAAGAAGGAAAGAATGTCGTATATATTTAGACGATACATGCATATATATTATTTTTATTTTATCAAGTGTGATTTAAAGTTAAATGATGGAACAATTAGTTAGACAATTATGGTTACAAGTAAAACATGGTATATTCCGTAAGTAAGTTTAGGTAGAGATACCAGCTGATTACAATTTCTTTTCTAAGTGTGCGCGACTTCTGCCAATTTTGTGTATGCATTTATTGTTTTGAAAAATAAAAACAAAATATTTGCAAAATCATTGGTTGGAAGAAGCGTACATTGCGGGATGCGCATCGAAGCTGAAAGATCGAACTATTTAGATCATATTTTTGAAAGAAAATCCAGGGAGTTCATTAATTTTTCACGATGCTTAACTAATTTTAAAAATGAGGAAAATATTGAATAAATGAAAACAACTTGTTTGCAAGCAAATTTGACAGAAAGCGGACATAGCCTAAATTTCTGTAGTTTTACGAAGCTGTTCTACATACTTATTACACCATGGTATATTCTTTCAAAATGTGTTTGATTTTAAAGTGTATAAAAGTCCTTGCCAAAATTAGGAAGGTCTTCATAGCTACCAAGATCTGATAAAGAAACGAGGCAGTCTTACTAAAGAAGTAGAGTTGCTTTTATATTGACAGATTGACAGAGGTTTGGAAGTTGAGACTTACGAAGGTGTTATTAACGGTTTTTAATAAGAGGACTAGTGGAGAATGAAGGTTATGGTAGTAATGGATCACTTAGTCCAGTATTGTTTTCAGGAAAGTCTTCTAAACACGCAGGCTTATTGTATTATTGATTATATTTCATATAGAAGTTGTTAAGGGTGAAAGAGAACACAAATTTGTGTCTTAGTTTTCTTTTTTTTTTTTGCTTCATAGCGATACAGTTACAGTTTACTGTTTCCAATAAAACACTGTAGAACGGCACAAGTTTTCAGGAGGCGAAGATAAAAATATTTGAACTTTTGAATTATTTGATAGTCTTGTGTTTGACATTTTATTTATGTGTTTATTTTCCTTTATAAATCGTCTATTTCTCAACCAATTTTAATGAACATTTTTCTCAGATGTGTGATAAGTATGCGAGACTTTTGATGTTGAAAATGGGTTACATGGTTACAGGTCCACGTTTTGTTATAGTCCCATATAACT